AGCAACAATCCAAAGTTCGAGTTGTGAGTTTTCCTTCTGACAGCATCACATACGGTATACTAATACCTCATCTATCATTGGGAAAGAATGCAACGGAGACAGCTTATGATCAAAAATAGATAGCGGATATCCTTTTATTAACGGCCGGTTCTCGGTTGTCACCTAGAAGATGGTTGATGACCGTTTATAAAGTGATTTTCTCATGAGTAATTTTTTCTTTAGCGACGTGTGATTTAAAATATAAACTTACATTAATGGAAAAAATAGCGATCAAGTAAAAATTGTAAATTTTTCTTGAAGTGCAGTATCTAACTGAATTGTCGTATTGAGGTTCTAAGAGAAGCATTTTAAAGTTTCGAATCTATAGGTCCTAGATATATTAGTTAAACAGTTTTTGAAGCTGAAAATGGACATTTTCAGTGCTCAAAAAATGTTATTTTTGAGATTACCAAATGTTTAGATTAAAGCACACATACCTTTTTTTTTAATGCATTGTTAATCATCAAATGATGCTTTGGAATAAACTATGCCGAAAATGCTCTCCAGAATCCTGTAGAAGAGTATTTTACCGGGGCAAGAAAAACATTTTTTGTAATTTATTAAAAAATTTGCTTGCATAAAATTGCTTTACATTACCGTTCGGCATTATTTAATTTCTTTATTTGGGTCCTCGGAGTTTTGTATGAAGTCAATAGTTTTTTCAGCTCCAATTTGCAAATTTTTCGATATGACCATTTCTTGCCGAGTCGAATTTTAAATGAAAAGGGACTATCTTGGCTTTAATCGTGGATATCTGAGAGGATAAGTGATAATTTATAGAGAAATAAACAAAAACATGTTTTGTTTTTAAACCAAGTACTAAATAGCAAATGTTGACGAAATGGATAATATTGAGCATCGTAGCTCCATATGCCCACAATAATCCCGTAAAATTTCACTTCGATCTACCCAGACGTTCTTTTGTTTTGAATAACCAAACAAAATAGAGGATTATGTTTATTGCTCCTAAAACATTCAAAAGTGGAGACTTTTTTGAGCTTTTATTCATAAAGAGCGGTAAAAATTTTGAATAAGAATTTTTGATAAACTTGATGCTTTCTGTAAAAAACGCGAACCTTTATTTTTTGAAACTCAACTCTGAACCGATAAACATCTGAGATCAAGTAAATTTTTCAGGGTTATTGAGTGTATTGGACTGTAAAATTCGCGCTCAACATTTGTCAAGATTTGCTGTACGACGATTGGTTCCTGAGGTATCGATGATGAAAACCAAAAAGGTCCTTTTACATTAAAAGTTCGGTATTCCAGCAACAAATGGTCATACCGAAGTATCTAAAAAAGCAAAGTGGAGCCGAAAAAGATTCTATTGATTCCATGCATTGTTTAAGCGAAAGCGTTTTTCCAAGTCCAAGGACTTGAATGAAGAAAAATTGCAGTTTTCTTTCTTCACACTATTTCCCAGGATTGCCTGGAACTTCCAGCTTCAAAAATTGTTTGACTAGAAGATCTAAAAACTAGACATTTGAATGCCTCTTCTGGAACTTCAGAACGACGATAACTAAAAATTTACGATTTTTATTTGATCCCTTACTTTTTTCCATTAGTGTAGAGTCCTACTAGATTCACGACTTTTTTCGTAATTACGTTGGTTGGATCGAATCACCCTCTATATGTCAGTCTATTTTTTCGAAAACCCTGTATAATATATAATGTAATATTGTGTCTAATTTTGTCAGCGATCGTCCTAACACTTCCACAGTCTGTTTAATACAAAACTTTTTAGAGTTTATTTTTAAATTTCAGCTTTACTGATTCTCCTCACAAAGAGGTTATGTTGAAGACAACACTAGAAAATCACGGTTTCTCGTGACTCATTCCAATGAAGAAACATATTGAGTTGTATTTCCCGGAACGTCATCCGTTTAATTCACGGTTGTATTACAAATACTGTAACAGACGAATTTCGCCATTACATATCGATCATCGACCTATACAATTAATCGCATCATCGATCTGACCTTGACTTTTTTATTCGATAATACTTTACCACTTCCTATTCACTTTCTATGCTCTTTCATATTGGCACACTCAACAAGAATCAAAATAACCACTTCACTCAGTCTGACATATTTTCTTTAGCAACCAATCGCATATGGCACCGTTCATCCTTATTGAGAATCGTCTGTAAGATACAGGACTTCGGATCAAAGCAGACAATTTTCATCACATGGTACATTCATGGATCTAAAACGTTATCAGGTAAACATAGTGAAAGCAAATGCCAGGATAAACTGTCTACCGCGTTTCAACCAGAAATTGTTTCAGTGATGGAGTATGATAACAGTTTTATATGTAGATGAGGGATGCAATAAAAAGTCTGTGCAAATATGACGGTGAGCCAACCCAAAAAGATCGTAACTCTAAATTATCATCTTTACAGGAGATGCAAAACAAGATTCGAAAGCCTGCAAAATTGCTTATACCCCTTAAAAACGATTTAATTAAGACGGAAAAATATGGGATGGCTATTTGACTATTTACATTGGCATATTCCAGTACGTAAGTCCATCAGAAGCGTGACCCACTGACAACGACAAAGTAAAAGAAATAAAATAGCATAGCATCATTAAAGTGGGAAAGAAAATAATGAATGAAAAATCAAAATAAAAATTATAATTTCGTATGAAATCACGATTTAGTTTGATTAAAATCATAACATAATCGAATCTCCCTGCATATTTGATACTACAAGCGAACATTTGAAAGCTCTGTTGGTAAATAGAATGAAATAACAAGCAAAGTTTTTTGTACATCGTTAGCGTTACTATGGCAGATGATTCAGTTTATTCTTATTCTTGATCTTACTGTATTTTGTTTTTCATTTATTGTGGTTTAATATCATGGTTTCCTCTTTCACTAACATATTTATAGAATTTTTGAATGTATATTTTTTGTACGCTTTACAATATTTATGTTGCAATATTCTCCTTAGTTACCGATATTGTTATTGGAGTAGGATGAATGGAATCAATTTATCTAGACTCCGCATATCAGGAATAAGATGTTATGTACATTTACATTCCAATAAAGATGTTTTATTATTATTATTACTTATACGATCCTATCTGACCAGAAAATTTACAAATAGCGGTAACGATAAAAAATTAAATTTTCTGACCACAAGTTTCAAACGGCTGATATTCATAATTCTTATAGAAACTGGAATTTAGTATTTTTTTTTCAGATCCGTAACATATTCAATGCATTCAGGCAATCCAAAGACATTGGTAAACTCCTATAAAGTAACTCTGTCTTAGATGCCAAGTCACATTGGGAAGTGTTGGTAAGCAGTCTCTCGATGGGCATTCAGTAATCAAGAGGTGGAATAGAATACAGGAATTCATTCAATGCAAGAAAGGCTGGATTCCTGACTAGTCACTAGTTATTCAAGGTACATCTGCAGAAAGTGTGTAGTGTAACAACTGCGGGAGAGAGAAAAAAAACTACCTGAAAAATCAAAAGCGAAGGCAAGAGTATACTTATAAAGTGTGTCAAAATAAGAGCGCCGGATTTGATTTTCAAGACAAAAACAATTTCTCTTCGAATTAAGCGAGTATTTATATTTCAACATGAAGAGGAATAGTTGCGATTAAACATAAAATAGGACATCCGGTAAATAGCCACCACGAAACCTCTGGAAACCTTCTTAAAATTCTGGATAACGTTTTCCCACAACTGTGGCTCTATTTCGTCGAAAACGTGCCGTATCTCTTCTTTAAGGCGTTCAAATGTTTGTGGCTTGTTCGCATACACCTTTTCCTTCACATAGCCTCAGAGGAAGAAGTCCATTGGCATTACATCGCACGACCTTGGTGGGCAGTTTTGATCGCCAAACCAAGAGGTCTGGAAACTTGGTCCGCAGTAACACCGTCTTGTTGGAAGAACATATCCTCCCCATCAATCCAACTGGGGCCACAAAAACTCGGTAAGCATTTTAGGATACCGCACACCATTAACAGTTACCGCAGTTCCAGCTGCATTTTCGAAGAAATATGGTCCAATCACTCCGCCACTCCACAATGAGCACCAAACAGTAACTCGCGGCGGAGGGGGTTCTCAGAACCCCAAATTCGGTAGTTCCGTATCAATTTGTTGGTGCTCGGTGCAAAGAATTCACGGCGCTGCGCGTGGTCCGTTGGCTTGAGCTCTTGTGTCAGTTGAACCTTGTACTCATGCAAGCACAGATCTTTTGTCAAAATTCGTTGCAGAGTCGGTCTGGTAAGTTTAAATTCTTGGCCACGGTGCCGAACGGAAGTGCCTGGATATTCTCGGTCACATTTTCCCGCAATGCGACTATATTTTCAAGGACCGGCGACGAACAGTGGTCTTCACATTCAGCAATGTGAATTTTGTCTCAACTTTTGTAATTAAACGGCGAACTGTCGACTCATTTGGCGCACTACTGCGACCGACAATTGTACGTAATTTGCAAACACTGATTAAACGTTGCTCGTTTGAATACTGTTCCATGACGTCTAATCTTGTGGTCTGGACATGACAGCGGTCATCAAGGAAACACCATACCATTTGTACAAAAAAGATAGCAAATTCAAATCCAGCGCTCTTGTTCAGACACCCTTTATAATCCAAAGGATTGTCAAGCTCATTAAGAACCTGAAATACTTTTAATTGAGAAAAATTGTAGCCTAAGCCGTTGCTAATAAAAAAAATCTTCAAATAAGGATATTTTCATTTTTGTATTCAGATCTAGAGAAGATAGTATTCAGAATTAAAGGGAATATAAAAAATTATGAGCGTTTATTCAGAAAAAATACTCCCGTTCAACAAAATACGAGTATGCAATATTTTTTGACGTTCGGATTTTTCATTCTGATAGGTAGTGGGGGTTTTTCTGCTTAATCGACCTATCAAATCTTCTGAAAATTAATCATCTCCAACTTATTTAATCTTTGGTCTATAAGATATTCCTCATTCTCTTATAAGCTATAAAAATTAGACTCCAGATAAAACTTTCATGGAATCTTAAACCTTCAACCTTTACAAATTTGAAGCATTCTCCCGATTCCGATGGATATTCCTAATACCACCTGTTACCTCTAGGAATGTTGGACAGAAATTCCTTTAATATAAGTGAACCGAAGAATTTAACCATACAGTCGCTCTAACCTTGACTTTCTTATTCGTACACTCGACCACTTCCTTGCCACTCTCGATGCTCCTCACATTGGCTTGTCTGACTAGATCTTCATCTCTACTTTGCTCTTCCCCCCTGGTCATCGTAGTGACCTTCCTCAAGATCTTGGTGGTGATCCTCCTTCTTCCATCGTCACCACACCTGCTGGTCTTCACAGACTCGAGAGAGCTACCGAGCACCTCCGTGGAGAGCCTTTTCTTGGTGTGGATGGCCTTCAGGTCGACGGGTTCAGGAGATGGACTCACCGAATCCGAGGTGGTACCTTGCACGAATAACCTCCGCGAACTGGTGTCTTTCGTGAACCGATACATATCGGCACGATGGTCGGTTCCGTAAGGTTCGTATATCACGCGGTTGTCACTTCTTTCGATGCTATAGTGAGGTTGTTGGGTTTTAGATACGGGGTAAAGAATGGACATAAAGTTTGATTGATTCGTGACGCGAAATAAATAGGCCGCCATCAGTACCACGCAATACGAGGTCTGTAAATTAAGTGTTGAGACTGGCAACGTAGCGTTCGATCTGGCAATACTGCAGGTGCAAGGATTGGTGTCAGGGGAACGTGATCTGCCGTCAGTGCTATCAGGTTTTGTTTCGGACTTGGGCACAGTGCAACGGATACTCTTGTTAAACTTCAGCAGACTCACTGAGATAGTGTTTTGTCAAGAGCCCCGTGGTTTGAGGCATTTTTAGAATGAAGAGAGTCGATTGAAGATGAACCCGAAACGGATAGCCTTCATCTTCAAGAACCGGTAAAAATATCGACAAAATCCGGGATTTTGTGCGTTCAGATCGCACTACCGTTCATCAGATCAAGAGCAACTGGGTGTTGCATGACGATAATACTCCTTGTCCACAGCAGTATCAATAAATGAGTTTTTGGCCAGTAAAAATATTCCTGTGGTTTCTCAACCTCCTTATTCGCCTGACTTGAGTCCTTGTCTCTTTTTCCCAATTTGGGACAGTCGAAAATATTCAAACGGTTGTACCCGACCAGCTTAAGGCTATTCCAGTATCGGAGGTCCATCCATGAGGAACGGAAGAACGCGCTGTGTGGCTTCAGAAGGACAATATATAATTGTAATTATATTGGGATGAAAAAATTAAAAAAAAATAGTCTCATATCCCTTAATATACAGACCTTATATAGCAACGGAAATCTCTTCTCCGTTTTTGTGTGGGAGTGTTTAAACTTGTTCATCTTGAACGTGACTGGTTTTTGTTTCAATACGAGCCGTTCTCTCAAAGCAAAATTAAATATGCTTTTTTTGAATACCGATAAACAAATTAATTTATTATGAAAATGGTGCCTCTGAACGAAACATTTAATAGCCACTGTTTACGTAACGTCAATCTGGTTTTGAAATATCGATACTATACTCTGGTACCGGAAAAGTAAACGGATCGCACCCCACTGCTGGCGCGCCTTAAACTGACATCGTCGGCGCCCTTGCAGTGGCGTGCGATGTGTTTTACTGCTCCCTTCGCTTTTGGTACCGTAGTATAAGAGCAGTGACGCATTATTTTTTTGCTGAGCATACAGAGTTGCTAGAACGAATGCAACTCATGTAAGTGCTTTGGAAGAAAATATCAAACATCTTAACATAAATTTTTCCATTATACTGACGTGCTGATTCTGCTCTTCAATTTTTCCGACGGTAAGTGAGCAGACTTCAAGCATTTGTACTAATCTCACTTTGGCAATTAATGGGCGTTGTTTCAATCGTAGTCAATGTAACAATACGGCTAACCAGAGGTTAACTCCCAAAAAGCGATTTTCAATGCCAGATTTGCCGTAGAATGCTAGATAACTTTAACCAAAGTTTCTATGGGTTAGCTATAAAGTTATAGTTAAACCGCAATCTGTAACCTACTTTGATTGACAGTGATATGAGACAAACTTCGAGCATCAGATTACGCATAGCACGCGTTAGTTAACCAGAACTTGAAACTAGGCCCAAGTATTACGTTTTCGGTTATGGTTTACTTTACAAATGTAAGAACCTATAACTATTTCATAGTTTTAATGTTTTGGTTGTAAATGTCGGTTGTCCATTCTTTACGCCATTGCTATTGAAACAGCCAACTATTCGTTACTCGACGTTTTTGATCTAACGTTATCACCTATTCATACTGACTCTGACGCTCAAGAGGAAAATTTAGTTTCAAATGTACTTGACATCATCCTACTAGATATTGAAAATATAAACATAGCTCAGTTTTCTCGGCTTGTTTATGAAACATATGCGTCCTTCTCGAGCAAAAATTGCGTAATAATAGCCACCAAATATGGCGAACACTTATGGTATTAATATTACAATAATTATAGAAATAAAATACTTCCAACCTTCCTATTTATGGGTTAACAGGTTATTCAAGGAATCTTTTTGAAGTAGCTCGTCAAACAGACCTTGACATTATTTTAAAGCAAATCACAATATTATTCTCAGTATTCATATTTTATTGAAACTCTAGAATGCAATGCTTACACTAAATTTGTTGCAGATAATGGCAGACATTTGTTGATTTTGACCATTTTAGAGAATTAGTAGTCAGTATGGAAGATGAGATATCTAACTGATTTTCCAAAAATCATCACAGCAAAATAATATTAAATAAATAAAATATTAAAAAATAATATTGTCAATTCAGTAGCAGCAAATCTTTAAAATAGAAACAATGTTGACAGGGCATAAATAACATTTTAGAATCAGTATATATGCATTTCGCATCTTACATACATACATACATACGTGAAGAACTACTGTTTCACATAGTTACTAGATTTTTTAAGACCCTGTTTAAAGTCACTCATCATGTTTGTTGCTAGGAATAGCTTGAGTAATGAAACCAAACTGAGACTGGACAAGTCGTAGTCTTCCCTATACATCTGCTACATAAATGTTGGAATGTAAGTTCAATTTATACTACAACCTTATACACAATTGGATCAGATTTTTTATTGTGGATTTTGTACCTTTGATTATGAATACTATCTAAGACTATTTCAAGGCAGTCTTCACTATAAAGTTAGTTTAATATATTCATAAATGTCAAAAAGAATACAGTGAAGCATGGTTTGGTGGAGGTACGGTTTTAAGTTGTTTAGTAGTTTGTTAGATACACTTGCACATATCGAAAAGGATACATTCTGTGCAGACACTTTTTTATTATTTTGAGTTTACGAGGAATTTGATCCAAAGTGTGTAATAGTTTATAATCTATTACAGGTAGTCAAAATCGGATAAGGGCTGGAGATACGCTGGAGATATGTGAATGTTAGTTATGTTACCGAATGATCATAGATGGTATCGGGTTCCAGAGCCGTCTTAAGCTATGTAAGCCGGGTAAAAAGGAAGCTTGGGGTCTGCAACCGAAGGGGCCCCAGGTTAGAGGAAAATCTGGGACTGGGAGATTTTTCGGTTGAGGAAGTCCGGATTGGAGTGCGGGACATTTTTAGAAAATTTCGATTTCTGAGCATCAAGCCGGATCTTTTCAGCTCTCATCGTTTTGGAGAAGACTTTCAACTGTGTCTTGAAGGTACATATGGCGACATGTGATTTGATTTGGTGCTGTAGAATAGTCGATTTATATACGTAGGCACAAATAATAAATAAATAATCTAAAGCCCTTCTTTTCTCCTGCTGCAATGGTACTTATTACAAGCTTCTCCATAGAACAGATCCATTATAGACAAATACACGTAATCACGGAGGGCACAGTCAGATGGAGAGAAAATATTGAATGTCACTAATAATAAAATCATGAGACAGTCTACATCCAACAAGGTTGGACCTACCGAGCTTTCTACATCATAAGCGATATTGATGAATTTTGTGATGATTTGAATATAAAACAAAAAACATTGTTTGCAAAGCTATTGAAGCTGCGGTCTATACATGAACTCTCACAAAAAATGTCGAGTAACGAATAGTTGTGTTGTAAATAAAGCTTTGAAACTAATCCTCTTCCACAATTTTTTAAATCTCATGTAAATACTACACGATCAACAACGATACATTACACAGACACAGAATACTTGTTGATACGGGATGGAAACAATTAGTGCGCGCACCGACTGGCGGACGTTCGCGATAGTCAGGTGTTTCGTAAGGTGAGACGCGGTGTGTACTGAATCGAGTTAGCCATGGCCGAACGCGACGCCGCGGTGCTGTCAGCAGCGTAGGAAACCAGGGACGTCCGGAGAGGGGGAAAAGGTACCTATCGAGGTACCACTTCATATGGACAACCGAATGTCATCTGCGGGCGTGGGACGACTGACGTACAGCGGCAAGCAAACATACAGAAACGTGTTTAATTTGTATTGTCTATACAGGTTGTTCTGAAAGGTGGAACTTTGCTTTCCAAACCACTACGTTAGAAATAAGAAAATCATGGTTCCTTAAAAAAATAGGTAAAAGTACTCATTGAACACTTGATAAGAGATTTAAAGTACTGCCCTGTCAAATGCTGCTTATAAATTCCACGTTCACGTTGTCCAAACCAAAAACAAAAGTGTGTTAACATTTTCCTCAATTTGCATAATTTGCTGCTGTATAGTTTCTCGACTAAGCCCGCTTTGACGTTCCTACCAAACGACCTTTGTACAAGATAAGCAAACATATGCGGCGCGGGATGGAAACGTCTAAGAAAAGAATCCGTGAATAGACTCTTAAATACCGGAAATTAACGTCAATTCAACAAGATCACTAGTGCTTTAGAAATGTACCATTTTCGTTTCTTTAAATACAATTTAAAAACAAACAGCTGCTTACCTACACGCGGCGTCTGTGTTGGGTATTGACACATGTCGTATTTTTCACTTAATCCCTTGATAGTTGCATTTGATATCGCATATTTTTCGGCTTATGACAACTCGGTTATTTTTGGTGTGTGTTATTGTGATTTATTATTATTATAAAAACTATACCCTGTGCAATGGACAATCCCAACTTTATGGTATACGAGTTTCATTTATGATAGATAATATTTACCTACTCACTTTACAATATCAATGTGGACACCCCTCAGGGTACAGCTTTACTTTTGCTTCAGGGTGAATCTGAGGAGACAAATTTATCCCTGACAAAGGACCTCCATTGCCAGTCCTAAATATCCACTTGACCACAAATTCCTATACATTGTATGTACGGTGACTACATTTTTGAACACTGACCTGATTTTAAAACTTCTAGTCAGGTTGAAGTAAGTTATGGAAATATTCGAGGAATTCATTTTGGTGGTGTGAAGACATTCTGTGACTTATGCAAGGCAAGCTTCGCTAGGTCTTTCTGCGATAGCTTGTGATGGCTGATTATTCAGCTTTGATGAACCCCTGAGGAGAACGTACAAGCAGTCCGGTTGGACCTAAGCTACAATCTTGGCTATTGTTTCCCCAATACGTAATTCAAAATCTTCAATATAAATCGTAAGTCCAATTTTCATTTTAATGCTAACGGCTTTTGTGGAGTTAGTAACAATAGAATCACTGAGTAAATGTCATTTGTCAATTTAATTCTTATAATTAAATACAACTAACGATATCAGTAATAGCAAGGTTTTAATGTGTGTCTTCAATTATGTGATACCAAATGAAGAAGAGCAGGAGCAGTCTTTATAGTGTTGCCTGCCACTGTATGCAACATCGGGAATGGTATACGTACAGCTCTTGTTTTTGTTTATACTAAGAGCCGTAGAAGGCATGGAATGTGTGACGATTTAGATATTTTTTTATTGAAAATCGGACGAATATTATAATTAATAATTAAGGCGGAACGTGGGAAGTATGGCCATGAGGTTATGGAAATCTGAAGTGACGAAAATATTATCTAGGTGTTGAATGAAATGACTTTCATTCATTTTTTTTAGTACTGGTTCGCTACGTCTCATAAAAGTTCCAGTTGATTAGCAGATATTGAAGCAATTCAGTCTTAAATCATGGTTTTATGTTTTCACATTGTCATTTTTAAAACTTATCTAAATACGTAATTTTCTAGGAAAATGACTCAGTTTTTGCTTAAAGAAGTCAAGGTCTTAATCTGTTTGTGTTGTTCGGACTACTTTGAAAAAAAAACACGCAAATTACACGTCGAAAGAAGTCTGTAGTATAACCTAGCTCATTAGAGTGTCATCTTTACTAAAAATCATAGCACGCTGTTACAACATTTTTTTTGACGGATAGTAGTGATGGAGCTTACTGCGGAGTATATTCTAGGACGCTCAACGTGAAGTGGTTAAGCTCGATTCGTCTGGAGTAACTGCTACTAATGCAGATGAAACTGCTTAGGAGTATTTTATGGCAAAGTGGAATCTGCAGCTATATCAGATAGGCAATCAAGTGTTGCAAACTTACTACGAGAGCAGTATTAGACATCAACAATAAGTACTGCCTGGGTGAAGGTTCAAAGAACATGTGAAATGATAAATCTAGCTTCTTATTCGCTAGAGAGTTCTGCAGCCATCCTTAACAAGTAGTAGCATCCAGGCCTAGAAAATATCTTCTGTTTGCTACTGGCATTGCGACTGGACACGGTCAGCTAAAGAAGTCTTTGAGACTTATACATCCCAATATAGGGAATGTGAAACGGGACATGAGACAGTCAAAAACCGCCTCCTCGTTTAAGTGGATGATGAACCAGATATGTGTAAGCGCTGGGGAGGACGTACAACAGGCCTAATCTACCTTTTTTCCAAAGCCTTCACCCGGTTTCAAATGACGGCCAAGTTGTGCTAAAGGGCCATTCGTTTTGGCTGCTACTACCTCCCAACTTATGTCGAACATAGCACATCCAACACTGTCCAGTACGACCGCACCTTTATTCCTTGTTTGTCGAGACTGTGGAACAACCTACCTGAGTAGGCTTTTCACAGTTCTGTTAGCCTTAGGCAGTTCAAAAATTGAACCAACTAGGTATTTTTTAAGCTTCTTATAGCAGTCGCAATGCCCCGGTGTTTAGGATTTTGTCTTCGCGGCTGCATCAGTATAAAAAGCGATCTCCATTCAGATTTTTTGAACTATCACCTCAACAACGAAAGCAACAAGGTTCTATAAATGAGACAGCTTATAAAATATTTAGTTGCTGGTAACAATGAAGAAACAAACAACAAATTAAATTCGCTGCTTTAAGAAGCACAATACTATAATGGTGTACTTGTAAACAAATCCTTCTAGACGAATGGTCTATTGTTCTAATTGTCCTCCTTTTTGGTTAGACACACAACAGGGCCGCTGCAGGCTTGGATACTACAGTAAAAGTGAAACGGTCCGAACAATACTGGTGACCAAAGAATTCAAATTTAACCTAGAGTAACACCAGACTGGAGCTTAACATTGACAAAAGTTAGGTATTTGAAAGAAAAAGGAAGTGACTACCCCGTTTCACAACACAATTTTTTATAGCAACTACTTCAAAATTCGATTTATATACTGTCAGCTGCAGCAAAATCAAGGCTCAGATTTATGTGGTTATAGGGTGAGAAGCCTGGATGATGAAAAGTACTTCTTACTTCTATACAGAAAGCCCACCTTTTTCCAAGCACCAACTGCAATCGATGAGATGTGTTCATGTATCAATAACACTGGTGAACAAAATTAAAATATTTTTTGTGACATGGACAAAACAAGGTGGTTATTATGTGAAGAGTACCCAAAAAGCCGGAAATATCATTCGATTTTTTCTATCACCCACGGTTTTCTTGCAATAAGGCATTTGATTTGCTGCTTATACTCGTAAAATATATGGATATGTGTGTAAGAGCACTAATAAACACTCGAATAAACATTAATCTCAGAATGTTGTTGTCGATGTTTTACGGCGATATGTTGCTCCTGAAGTACCTCTTAATAAGCAATAATCAGCAAGCAAATTGACACTCCATTTGCCTTGATACCGTTTTTCCATAGCAGAAATGTGTTGGTGGAACCGTTCACCATGTTCATCACCTACCGCACCTAAATTTTCCAGAAAAAAATCGAGATGAGAATACAAAAAGTGAATTTTTAGAGACATGTTACATCCCATTCCTTTATAAGCATTAATCAGTTCACTCACAATATCTTTATAATTGTCCGCCCTCACATTGCCTACAAAATTGCAGTAACTGAGTTAAAGGCATTCCAAGCTCGTAATTCAGTTTCATTTAGATCACTGTCAAATACATGATCCTTCATGATTTTCCGCATTTGTGGACCCACAAATATGCCCTCTTTAATTTTTGCCTCACTAAGTCTCGGAAATGTTTGTTTTAAATGCAGAAATCTTCTTCCATTTCAATCCATAGCTTTCACAAAATTTTTCATCAGTCGAAACCTAATATGCAAAGGTGGAAGCAACACGTTTTTGGGATCAACTAGTGGTTCATGAGCAATGTTTTTGAGGCCCGGAATTAATACCTGACGCAGTGGCCACACCTTCTGTTCATAATGACGATCTCGCCCACGACTGTCCCATTCACAAAGAAAACCATATTTGGTATACCCCAGTTACATTCCAAGAGGAAGGGCTATTACCTTTGAATCTGCACATATGGCCCATCCATATTCATTATAACGAATGCTCTAACAGAACTCGCATATTTTCATATGATTTCTTCATATGAAATGCGTGCGCTATAGGTACCAATACCGCTTTTAAACTAAGCTTAGAAGAATCAATGAACATTCGCCAATCATGTGGATCATGTTTCTGTCCTAACGCGTCAAACAAATTGTCGACATCGGAGCAATATATCAACTCCCTTTCTTGACGGAACCAGTTGTTGTTTTCAGTAAAAAGTAATGTTAACATCACCGTGGAGAAGATTCCATCCTTTTAATCTTGATGCTAAAAGTTCTGATGGTAAATTAAAATACTTAACAGTGTGTTTCGATTTTGGTCCAATATCTTTAATATTTGTGAGGCAACAATAGCAATCAGCAGTATGGTCTCTCGGTTCTCTTAACCAACCTGTTAACAACGTTACACAAGTCTTACAACATATATGAGGCGCCCATAGTTTATCTTGGTCGCCAACCTTAATTCCAAAATAAAGTTTGTATGCTTTCAACACAAGGGAAGTAAAAGTCCGTTTTTGGGATTTAAAAGTTAGCTCCCCGGACACATAACAAATACTGTTCGCACTATTTACACAATTTCTAGGCATTGTCCGTAAAGCTAGTCTCAATCACAATAAACTAAAAATAACACATCGTTTTAACAAAAATTAACAGTACTCAGAACATCTCAGTACTCTTCAACGCAGA